GGGCCAGAGCCGAATGGCTACTAGGCTAGGCTCTGTTTCCTACCACTGCCTCCTCCGTCACCGCCCAGGGTAGGGCTGTAGCCTCCGGAGGACCAAATTGAAAAAGTACCTGCTGAAAGACGGAAGGTCTGGCTCGGGGGCAGGGGGCGGGGAGGGGTCATTCTTTGCTCCCCCCTCCCATCTTTCTCTCCCGCCAACCCCATTCCAGAATTCCCCCCATGGGCTGCCAATCTTCTACCCAAGCTTAAGGGCTGGACAAACTGGAACTGGGTTCCTAGATCCACCTCCCTAAATGCAGCGAAAATTGAGAAGGAAACAGTAGGAGAGGGTTTAAGCTGGGATAATCACCACGTGGATCTTCCCGCCCCTCCCCCATCGCCAGGATACACTGCTTCCAGAGGTGCCCTCGGCTGCAGCCATGAAATCCCAGCAAACTATCAGATTAACAGATGAAAGGGACCTCGGAAGAAACACAGATCCCCTTTGTCATTTTATGGATGAGGGAAATGAGGCCCAAAAAAGTGAAGTGACTTGTCCAAGGTCACAACAAAATTGTAATCAACTAAAGCGGGATTTGGATCCCTACACTACAGTCTTCCAGTAAGGAGAATGAAATAATACTGAATAACTGAATTTAACACAAAAAGCAGTCCACAACTTTCGGCAGAGGGAAAGGAGTCACTCAAAGGACAGTCAAGAGCTATACCTCAGTACAAATTATAAACTGTTGAAAGGAGCCGAGGTATAAATAGAAAAGTCATGGAAATGAGAACCTGGGGGACCTGAGTGTGAGTCTTGGCTTATTTGTGACCTTGGACAAGTCACTTAACCTTGTTGAGTTTTCTTTATCCTAGACCTGGCAAAACTATGTCTCAGCTGTGTGACCGTGGACAAGTCACTTCCCCTTTCTGGGATTTAGCTTCATCTTCCACACAATGAAAGACTAGCTCTTGGGTTACTCCTGGACCAAAAATGTATTCTTCCTTCTGCAGCCTTGCGGTGGCGGTGTAGGGAGCATCAGATTTTTCTAAAAAAAATTGTTAATGAATTTTTTACACCTCACTCATGTTTCAATAAAGTCTCCAATATCCACCTCCTAACAACAATGCACCCAAACAACAGTTTAGCAATTTAAAAAAAAAAACGAAGCTAATAACTCTATAATTTCATCAGTTTTGAGCCTCCGATCATCTGACATGTCTCCTGGGAAACATTTCTATTCGTATGGATTCTCAGTATACTAGGGCGGATGCTGGCTTCTTAAGAAGGGCCCTTGCTGCCCTTAATGCAAAGGTACTGAAGAGGCTTTAAAAGATCTTCCTTAGTGATGGGAGTGGGAAGCCAGGCTGAAGAAGAATTGAGGCAATGACCAGAACGCAAGGACATCTCCGAGTTCCCTTCACCTTTTTCGGGTACTAACAGATGAAGTTTGAACTTAGCGGTAAGACAGTGACAATAAACTCCAAGCATTTGTTCTAACTAAAGCTAATACCTATTGAAAGAGACCGCCCCCCCTCCCCCTAGCCCCTTACGCCCGGCACGGCCGCCGCCGGGTCCACAGCCACACATGCATCTTGCGCGCGCGCGCACACACACACCCAGCTGGCTGGCCCGGCCTCCCTGCCCAGCCCCGCCAGGCTGAAAGGAAGCTTTTTCACCCTGGAAACAATTTCCAGTTTGATCCATTTCGTGGAGCCGCTCCTTGCGCAATGACTCAGAAGCGGCTCTCATAGGGCAGAGGAGGGGGCTCGCTTCACCGGAAGCGCGGTCAGGGACACAGTCTTCTTTCTCAGGAAGGGGGAACGGCGGGGGAAGGAAGGAGATGTAGCGGATTTCTGAGAGGAGGAGGGAGAGGCGAGATAGCGCTAAGCCATTTCTGAAAGGTTCCGAAGCAGCGTGAGAAAGATCCCTGGCAGAGAGCCCGGAGGTTTGGGCTCGACCCCGGCTCCGCCGCTCCCTAACCGTGTGACCCTCCGTTCTCCGGGCCTCAGTTTCCTCGAATCAAATAATAATAACCCCTGCTTTGCTTCCCCCACCAGGGAGGATTTGAGGCAGAGACGGTGAAAACAAGTACTATTCATAGGTGAGGTATTAAACTGAAAACAGATGGATGGCCCGAGTGTTACATTTGCGCCCTGGAAACATTTAAAAGAACTAGAGAAAGGCCTCCAGCCCACTGGATTTATGGACGAATGGTGAAAAGACATGGACGAGAATAATATAAGAAGGTATGAGTAATCGGAGAGGAGAGGAGCTGCGATCTGCATAGGTGGAGGGGTCACAGACCCATGAGACTACGGATCTACTGAGGGTATTCTGAGAGTAGAGTCTAGCCCTTACCCTAAGATAAAGCAACTTCTTTTAGAAACTAGCCCAGCAAAATGCAACTGGTTATCATCGTCAGCAGAAGTGAGAAGGAAAAGCCAAAAACGTTTTTTAAAAATTTCACCCAGAAGAGAAATGAACCATACAACTAGCATTCTGCTTCCGATTTTCAATCGAAAATCTTTGCAGGTGAAGCTCTGGTCTCACTCTCATGGAAGGTCCAAGCTGTGCCCCACCCCCATCACCACTGCAGCCCAGGCACTAAACAGTAAGGCCCTGAGCAAAGGTTTTTGTAAACTGCTGCTTCCCCCCCACCCAAACTTTTCTAGATCCCAGGTCATTTTTCCACAGTCAGATTTCTTGCTGTCATACTCCTGACCTAAAAAGGAACAAGTTGGAGAAACATGCTGTTGACCCTGCCCCCACCTGATGACATCAGACTGTGGGGCTTCCCATTCCTAGTTGGAGAAGAGGCACAAAGTCCTTCCCCCAGGGTGCTGGGTTTGTCTCCTAAGAGTTGACCTCTTTGTTTAAGAAGGGGAATGTTGAGGTGAAGCTATAGATTGGGAAAGGATTGGTATGGGTGTAGGGAGTGGAGAGAGAAAGGAAGGGATTTACTTCACCTCTCCAGTCCTTAACAGATGGTCCCTAGGGTGAAGTCCAATTCTGACATTCAGTTATCTTTCTTCTTAGAACAATGAATGTCAATATTCCCTTCTAGTCCTGAAGTTCTGTTATATCTTCTTAGGAGGCATTCTTTCCCTCTTCCCTGTCTGATGGGGATGGGGGCGGGCAGGGAGAGAGAGATATCATTCAAAATGGCAACGGTTAGCATCTGAGCAGACAACTACATGGGGAAGGGTGAGAGGGAAGGAGGGAGACTTTGTCCCTCAGCCTGGCTTCAGGGACAATTCAGGGGATTATTCCCCATTCCCCCGAGCCTCCAAATCAGCTTTTCTAGTCAGTCAGTATGGGTAGTCTAGTTCCACACAGAATCCTTGAAATTCTTTCAGATTTAAATAAGATCATAGATCCAGAGCAGGAAGGAACTTAAGAGGCCATCTAGCCCAACCCCCTCATTTCACAGATAAGGAAACTGAAGGGCCCAGGAAGGAGAAATGACTTGTCCAACACCACACAGACAGTATTTAGCAGACATGAGATTTAAATCCAGGTGCTCTGAATCCTCTCTGCTTATTCTGTCTCTCTCCAGTTACACCAGTAGGGCAGACAAAATAAGCCTCTTCCCTGTTCCAAAGCATATAGGGATCAACCCATTATTCCACTACCTCCCCACAAGTGCCTATTGCTAACCAGGTTTTGGTCTTAGCACAGAAGACTTTCAGAGAATGGTTCTGTCTCTCCTCCTAGCCTTGAGAGGCAGCATGGTGTAGCACATAGAGCACTGGATTTGTCCATACTTGCTGTGTGGGTCTGGGCAAGTTACTTAACCTCTCTGTGTTTCAGAGAGGTTATCTGTAAAATGGAAAAGGGTTTAAGTCTTTTAAGTCCCTTTCAGCTCTAAATCCAGGATTCTATGGTCCTTGCATTTGGTCCCTTTTCTGGCCCAGTTAGCAACTATAGTTGCAATGGAACCAAAGCCAATATTACTAGATAGTTTTCACCACACACACACACACACACACACACACACACACACACACACACACACACACACACACAGAGGATAGCTTCCTAGAAGCCATCTTTTACTTAAATGAAAGAAAGTACCAAAAGAAAATCCATCCGCTTCCTCACACAACCCCATCAGACTTGCCTGTTTTGTTTGGTCCCAAACTGGAAGCCTCAGAGTTTCTTCTTACTTAATATCCCCAAGACCCTGTACCCTCCCTTCTCACTCTTTCTCTGGTTAAGGGTTAACAAATATGTGGCCCTAGCACCTCAAGTGTTTTTTTTTTGGCCTGCTAGATGATGCCAACTCCAACCTATTCCCCAAACAGCCATATAGAGGCTTGTCCCTAGGGACACTCCCCTGGGGAAGCGACCCTTGATCAAAAAAGCCCAAAGTCAGGATCCCTGTTTAAGTCACAGATCTTCCCCAGGTGGAATTGATAGAGAGATGGAAGGAAGGAGCTCTATCTGCACTGTTCTTCCTTTCCCATTCTGCCCCAGTGTCTGTTGGGCCAAGAGCTCTGATGAGGAAAGCATTGGCGGGGGGGGGGGGGGGGGGGGGGTGGCCCTTGGGGCCTTGAGCAAGCTCCTTCCCTAGAAATTGGAGGGGGGGGCGGTGTTGGCGCAGGGCGCCGAACATACGTGTTGAGTACAAGCAGGAGGTCTCAACCCTGAATTCTGCTCCTAGAGCTCCTCAGGGACTGCCTAAAAAACCAGACTACGCCCCGGGGGCCATCTCGTGGGGAAGGGCATGTATCCCAGAGCCCTCAGTCAAGGGCCACTTCGGGTGTCAAGGCCAGCAATGCTGTTTCTATTGCCCCTTATTTCTCTCTAGTCCATATCTTCTCAGCCCTCCGTGCCCCATCTCTGGGGACCATCCTTAATCACTTCGCTCACCTCCACCGAGGCCTCTCCAGAATTCCAACTCCCGCCTCGCCCCGTGCCCACCCCTCCACCCTTGTCTCCCGAGCCCCCCACCCAGTCTCCGCCAGCCCGCGGGCCTCCCTCCCCCACCATCTCCCTATCTTCTTCCCGGCTCTCACCAGCGTCCTCTTCGTCGAAGGAGTTCATGCAGGGGAAGTAGATGGCGAGCGCCTCGAAGGAGGCGGACAGGCTGAGGCGGCTCTGAGAGCGCTCCATGTAGAGCCCAGGAGGACCGGCCCCGGGCGCCTCGGCCGCCGGCGGCTTGGCCAGCTTAGCCGCCCCATTTTTGACCCGGAGCACCGCGCGCGGCGTCTTGGCGGCTCGACTGGGGCTCCGAAGGAAGAAGGGAAGGAGCCGCTGGGGCTCGGGCTTGGACTCGGGCTACTGGGCTGCAGGGCCCACACCCAGGGCGCTGCGCCGAACTCTGGGCTTAGGCAGCTGCACCTGGACTGCTGGCAGTGGATGGGATAGGATGGGAGGGAGTGGGGCAGGGCCGGGCCGGGCCGGGCCGCGCCAAGGTGAGGCGCGCGGAACCGAGGGACAGCCTGTTTTCCAGTCTGCGGCGCAGACCTAACTGGCGCTTCATTCCCCCAGCCCAGGGCGGGCTTTAGAGTGAAGTCATCGGCTCAGCCAATCAGAGCAGCCAGCGGAGGGAGGGGGCTCCCGAGGAGCTAGGGAATTGGGGGGCTCGACGTTAAAGGGGAAGTGGGCTTGAGGCGGGCGGGGTCCCAAACTGGGGGCACCATCCTCCAGGGACGCTGGACAGCGCTCGACTAGCTTCCGAGTCAGACAGAAGCGCAAAGCCAAGGAGCAGGTGTCACTGACAACGGTGAGAATGGAGAGCGACAAGTGGGGCGGTACTGGTTAGAGAAGCAGAGGTCTTACAACTGGAAAGGGCCTTCAACATGGTCTAATTATAGGAGCAGAATATTTAGAATCTGAGGATCTTGTAATTTAAATCCAACCTTCGAATTTTCATGGGGTGGGGGTGGGAATTGAGGCCCGGAGAGGGATTGGAACTTGCCCAAGGTCACACAGGTAGTTAAGCAAAAGAGCCAGGGTTTGAGCTCAGGTCTTCTTATTCCAAACGCTCAGGACTTTTGACTCTCTTTCCCCATACATCATGCTTCCCAAAGTTCTATGATATTCCTTTCTTTCCTTTCTCCTTTGTCTTGGTGTGCCTACCTTTACTCATTCCCTGGCTGGGTATATAGGGAAGGGAATCAGTCATATTGGATCATATGATCTCCACTCTTCTTAATCTCCCCCCTCTTTTGTATTTGCAACCCACTTTTAAAATGTTATCCCCTTTGAGGGAGTATTGTCCTGGATAGATTTCGCTCTTTTCCCAAAAGAGGAACCTGATGAAGAGGGAGGATCAAGGAGTGTGGATGAAGAGGAGGGTTGCTCTGGCTCCTTTGAGGGCCAGGCGGAGGGTGAGAAAGGCTGGATTCAAACTCAAATATTGGGAGTTTCTAGTTCCCTGTGTATGAGGTTTTATACAATCATCTTACAACAGCCCAAGGAAATAAGTAAGGTTTGCATGTGGCCAGAGCAGGTCAGTTGGATTCTGCCAAAAGGTATGACACAAGCATGGCTTCCCTGGGAAGAATTAGGTTGATCAATGCTTGGTCTGGAAGAGTCAATCAGGAGGCATGAGCTACAGTTCATCACAGCCACTAACTCATCGTGTGGCCTCATTTGAGATGGTTAAGATGCTGGGCTTGGAATCAACAACACCTGGGTCCAAATCTTGCCTCAGACTCTTACTAATGATGTGACCCTGGGCAAATCACCTAACCTCTCTGAACCTGGGTTCTTTATCTATAAAATGGGGCTAATATTGGCACTCACCTCATGGGATTACTATAAGGCTCAAATGAAATGTCTTTATAAAGCAAACCTTAAAGTGCTACATAAATGTTTACTATTATCTTATTACTAGTTACTTTCTACTTACTAGTAATTACTAGTAACTTATTACAAGTTACTTTCCATCTTTTGGTCTCAATTTTTTCATCTGCAAAATGAGAAGGTTGAACTAGATGATCCCCAACATCTCTTCTATAGTTGACATTCTAGGTCCTAAGGCCTATGCTGCAGTAGTGAAATCTTGTCTTCCTCGTAGGGCTGTCATAAAGAGAAAATATGTTTGTCAATGGAAAACCTCTTTGAAAATTTCCAAGCTCTGGGGAAGTGAGGTGGCGTAGTGGATAGGGCTCCAGCCTTAGAGTCAGGAGGACCTGAGTTCAAATTTGGCCTCAGATATTTGATACTAGCTGTGTGACCCTGGACAAGTCACTTAACCCCAATTGCCTCAAAAAAATTTTTTTTCCAAGCCCTGTATGAATGGGAGGAGGTGGGGATTTGATTATTATGGGCCTAGGACCTATCAGTTGGGCTAGGGCAGAATCCCATTAACTGGAATAGGGGTTTGAGAAGGTTCCTCTCCTAGCCTCAGTCTCTCAATGCTCCTGACTTTCTACTCTTAGTGAAGTAGGGGACTTTCTCAAACATGCAAAGATTAGGGGGAATTACCAAAACTATTCAACAGCTTTGCTTAGGGAGGAGGTAGCCTTCAGATCCTCAACTCTTTCCTAAGGGTTTGTGGGGAGGAGTGTTTCAGAACTGTCCGAGGTATAGAGCCTTGATAAATCATTCCCTTGGACATCTCTGGAATCCACAAGATCAGATCCCCAGGCCCAAGCTATGGGTACCATAGAGAAAAGAAGGATTAGAATTGCTCCCCTTAACCCTAGAAGGCAAAACTAGTATGGGAGTAGAAAGAGGATGGCAAATTTTAGATAGTTATAAAGAAGAAATTCTTCATAATTGGAGCAGTCCTGATCGAATGGGCTGCCTTGAAAGGTAAGTTCTCCATCACTGAAAGTGTTTAAGCAGAGGTTGGACAGCTATTTATTTAGATGTTGTAGAGGCTGTTCCTGTTCTAGGCAGGGCTTGGGCTAGATCAGTCAATCAATAAGCATTTATCGAACACTCACTACTACTAAGCACCCATGATATGCTTCTTGGAGAGGTACCTAGAAATTATCTGTAGTGCTTTGCCTGAATGTCCCAAGAGGCTAGTCCATGGACAATGCCATTCTTGAACTCATATGCTAGATGCCAAGGATACAAAGATGAAAAAAACAGTCCTTGTCCCCTAGATGTTTACATTCTGTCAGAGAAAATAGTAAAACATGCACAGGAATACCTCAGAGATTGTGGGTTCGGATCCAGATCAATGTAATATACTGAATATAGCAATAAAGCAAGTCACATGGATTTTTTGATTTCTCAGTGCATATAAAAGTTATGTTTACACCACACTGTAGCCTATTAAGTATGCAATTGTATTGGGTATAAAAATAGACAAACCTTAATTAAAAATACCTTATTGTTAAAAAAGAAAAGTGCTAACCATCATCTGAGCCTTCAGCAAGTCATAATCTTTTTGTTAGTAGAAGGTCTTGCCTAGATGGTGATGGCTGTTGACTGATCAAGGTGATGGTTGTTGTAGATTGGAGTGGCTGTGGCAATTTCTTAAAGTAAGATAGCCATGAAGTTTGTCTCATGAAGTCTTCTTTTCACTTTAACACTTAGAAACCATTGTGAACTTATTAATTGACCTAATTTCAATGTTGTTATGTCTCAGGGAATAGGGAGGCCAAAAGAGAGGGAGAGAGATGGGGGGATGGCTGATTGGTGGAGTAGTCAGAACACAGAACATTAATCAATTAAATTTGAGGTATTATATGGGTGTGGCTTGTAGCTCCCCAAAACAATTACAATAGCAACACTAAAGATTACTGACCACAGATCACCATAACAGATATAACAATAATTTAAAATTTTGAAGTATTGCAAAAACTACCTAAACATGACAGAGAGACATTATGTGAGCACAAGCTGTTGGAAATTTGGCACCAATGAACTTGTTCAACACAAGGTTGTTACAAACCTTTAACTTGGGGGAAAAAAATGCAATATCTGCAAAGCACAATAAAATAAAGTGCAAAAATGACATATGTCTGTATAAGTAAATAAAAAACAAATAAAGTAAATTTTTGGTCAGGGGCAAGGAAGAGGCAATAGCAGCTGAAGGGGTCAGAAAAAAATCTCATGACATGGATAGCCCTTGAGTAAATATTTTAATTTAAGGAAGATAGGGTTCAAAGATACATAGGTAAGGAGTGCATTCCAGACATCAGAGCACAACCCATGCAAAGGAAAAGATATGAGAAATGGAGTGTTGCATAGGAAGCACAGCAAGTAGGTAAGTCTAGTTTGGCTGGACTGCAGATACATGGAAGAGACTAATGTATTATCTGGAAAATTGAGCTGAAGCCAGATTGTGAAGGTCTTCAAATGCCAAACAGAGGAATTTGTATTTTTAACCCAAAGGCAATTGGGAGCCACCAGAACTTTTGAGCAGGGTGAAGGACAGGGTCAGAACTCTCTTTTCAGAATATCACTTTGGCAGCTATGTGGAGGAAGGATTAGAGATAGGAGAGACTGGGGTCAGGGGGACCAACCATGAGGTCATTGTAATAATCCAGGTCATGGGTGATGAGGGCCTAAACTAAGGTGATAGCTGTGTGAGTAAAGATAGGGGGACAGATGTAAGGGATTCTGTGGGGGTAGAATCAACAAGATTTGGCAACTGATGAGTTGACAATGACTCCTAGGTTGCAGCCTGGGTGATTGAAGGAAGAATGGAGGTGCCCTTAACAGAATTAGGGAAGACTGGGAGAAGGGTAGGTTTGAGTGGGGAAGGTAATGAATTCTGTTTTGAACTACTTTCACCTTTGGGAACATGAGAAGTGGTCAGAAAAGCAGAAGAATCATGAGAGAGCAATGTCATGAGAAGAGAAATTATCATAACAGAGAGGTGTAAGAAGTCAAGAAAGCTGAAGACCAAGAAAGATTATTAAACTTGTCAATTAAGAGATAACTGGTAATCCTGGAGATAGTAGTTTTGGTTGAGTATTGATGCTGGAAGACAGCTTGCAAAGGGCTGAGAAATGAATTTGAGGAGAGGAAACTAAGGTCATGAGTATAGGTAGCTTTTTTTCTAGGAATTTGGCTGGTAAAGGGAAGAGAGATATAGCTTTGTCAAGATATTAGAAGATATCCTGTTTTCCAGAGCTAAGGCCAAGCAAGCAGCCTGTGCTGAGCTTGGCATAACACCAATCCTTTGCACTCACCCTCTAGATGATATCATCCTGTGGCAAATCACATAATTGTTGTACTATTTTGATCAGCACCTGGTATTCTCTGAGCTCAGACAAGCCCCTGACAAGCTAGGCAAGTTCTGGTCATGGAGTACTGCTATGAATCAAACTTGTCACACTGTTGCTGTTACCCTTCATTGTCAGGGCTACAGCACACTGTACAATCATTGGCATAAGTATTGAGTTTCCCCCACTATATTTTGGGTTCACCCCCTAGGGGCAGGGCCCTGGCACATGTTTAATCTGCTTCCTTGCTTGCAAGCCATTTCCCTCACTTTGAACTTAAACTTCTGTTTGATTCCTGACTCTCTTGTCTCTAAACTGTTTTGTTCAG